TTGGGTGCTTGTATCTCTACATGATGTATCTTGGTTCTTATTTTTTCCCCATTACCTGTGTGCCCTTCACCCCCTCCACCCTTCCCTATTTACATAGACTTTGTTCCCATTTTTTTCCTCATAATTTTTCCTTTCCCTACTTTCCTTTCCCCTTCCCCCCCCACCTCCCCTACCCCTTTAGACCTTTCCTTCCTATTTGAAATTATCAATTATTCATTTTAATCATTTTAATCCTTATTTACCCTTTCAGTTTCTCACACTAGAGAAACTATTTGGTATTTACTCATATGTGTCCTGTTTATTTCACTTAAGAGTATGGCCTCAATATGCATCCATTTAGCTATAAATGTCTCTAGTTTCTTGTTCTTTATGGCTGAGTAGTACTCCATTTTATAAAAAACCCACATCTTCTTTATCCAGTTTCCAGTTGATGGGCACTTGGGCTGTTTCCAAGCTTTAGCTATTACACACTGTGCCACTATAAACATAGGTGCACATATATCACTGTGGTATGATTCTTTTAATTCTTTGGGGAAGATACCCAGCAGGAGAATAGCTGGGTCAAATGGGACCTCTAGCCCTAGTTCTTTGAGGTATCTCCATACTGACTTCCACAGTGGTTGCACCAGTCTGCACTCCCACCAACAATGGAGAAGGGTTCCTTTCTCCCCACACCCCTGCCAGCATTTGTTACTGGTTGATTTCTTGATAGCAGCCATTCTTTCTGGGGTGAGGTGGAATCTCAGTGTTGTTTTCATCTGCATCTCTCAAAGCACCAGTGATGTTGAACATTTTTTCATATGCTTATTTGCTGCTTTTACTTCTTTGTCTGAGAAATGTCTGTTCATTTCGGATGCCTGTCTTTGAATTGGGTATTTGAATTGGGGGGGGTGTCTGATTTTTTCAATTTTTTATATATTCTAGATAGTAGTCCTTTGTCTGAGGTCAGCTGCTAAAATGTTTTTCCCACATTGTAGGTTGTCTCTTAGCTCTGTTGGTGACATTTCTTGCAGTGCTTTTTAATATGATTGGATCCCAGTTGTTGATTCTTTGTGGTAGTTCCTGTGCTATTGTGGTTTTGTTCATAAAGTCTTTTCCTATGCCAATGTCTTCTCCAAGGTTACTTTTATTTTATTTTATTATTATTTTTTTGGTACCAGGGATCAAACTCGGGTTGCTGTGCTTGCACAGCAGGCAGCGAAACCACTGAGCTAAATCCCCTCCAAGGTTACTTTTAAAGGAACATGCATCTCATCCTTTTTCTCCACCATTGTATGTTTAGGTACATTGTGCGTATTCAGATTTATTGTTTGTTTATATGTAACAAGGAAATGAGCAGCGGCATCTATCTGGATCATGAATTGTTACAAAGATCCTGGGCCAGGACAAGGACACAAGTGGCCACATAGGCATGTCCTAGGCAGGGACAGCTCTGAACTCTACTTGTGCGATGAAGGGTTTGGAACTATGCGTGTGAGGGTGTATGGTGCTGGGGAGGGCAGCAGCCAAGGGACGAACGATAGTGAACTTCTCTCCAACATTTCTCCTTCTTTCCAGAAAGAGCACTCTTGATTTTGGTGGTGTTTTTGTTTGTGCTGGGAATTGCACCCAGGGCCTTCACATTGATCTGCATCCTCTGCGCTCTCGCTCGCTCTCTCTAAGGGTCTCATTATATTACTAAATTGCCCAGCTTTGGGCTCAAACTTGTGATCCTCCTATCTCAGCCTCCCTGAGTGCTGGGATTACAGGCATTGCACTACCTTGTCCAGCTGTGTTTGGTAAGAAGTGACCTACACTCTCTCTGTCCACAGGTCCATGGCCGTGAGGACATGGCCCCAAGGCTGCCCCACCTCTCAGATAATGAGGGAAACAGACAACTACCTAGGGAAGCAGAGAATGACACGCAGGAGAATGACACAGCAGCTCGAAAGTGAGGGTTTTGTTACCCTTGTCCTTGTCAGAGTTTAACTTGTTAAAGAAAATGTATTCAGTGACACTTGCTGAAGGTGGCAAGACAGCCTTTATCCAGGACCATTGCCCCAGTGGGAGGGAGGACAGCAATGGGGTGGAGGGAGGTTGACTGTTGCATGGAACCAGGATTTATAGCGAGAAGAAAGCGGGCTCAGAGGATGGAAAATTACTTATTTGGAAACTTCCCCTGCCAGCTGGGGCATTCTGGCCAAACTGAACTAACAGGATTCTTCCTGAAGACAGATCAGTGTGATCAGGAAGGATGGCAATTAGATAGGAGCAAATAATCCAGGGAAGGGGTCTCTTGCTACCCTGAGTTAGCAATGCTCTTGCTTAAGTGGATTTGACAAGGAAGTAAATGAACAGGTGGGCCCAGAAGGAGTGTCAGGACCCTGACTAAACTATGGTCAAGCAAAGGATTGGTCAGATTCTAGAGTCAACAAATTTACATCCTTGACTAAAATGCCTCAAGTTAGTTTTTGTCATGCACCATGAAGAGTCCTGATCATTTGGGACTCCAGGTGTTATGGTTTGTGTCTAGATGGCCCCCCAAAGCCTCATTCGGTCACAGGGCTTTTTTAGGTGGCTGAATCTAGAGTGTGTGATGCTGGGGTTGAAGGCGTGTGATTGCTAAATCAGTCCACTAACTAGTTTGCCACCACCCTAATTCTGGTAGTCTGGATAAGATAAAAGGGGCAGGAAGATGATGGTAAGGTCCCTTGTTGCTTTGCTGTGGTGTGGGTGCCATGAACTGTTTCTCCTCTGCGATACCCCTCTGCTGTGTGTCACTCTGCCTCAGAGCCAGCTGATTATGGACTGAAACCTCTACAAACTGTGAGCTAACTAAACCTTTTCCCCTTTAACTTTGGGCATCAAGTATTTTGTCTCAGCAAGGAGAGAAAAGTAACTAAGACAGCAGGTGTAGGGCTGGAGGTGGAGAGCTTGTACAGCAAGGGTCCCAGCCCTAGTGCTGGGGGAAAATAAATCCTGATAATTCCATGGGCAAAGAAGTGCATAATTCCTTTCCTCTTTCCTTCTTTTTTCCCTAGAGGAATAACAGTTGTACAACCGTTGCCATTAGTTCATTCTCAGTATATACTATGCAGACTAGGGACAATTATGGGACTCATCTGTCATTTATGGAGGGTAGAGATCAATGTACTTTATTATATTAAAGGGCGTGGGTCCACTGTTTGATACTTTGAAACTTTTCCAAAATGGGCCATGGGTTATTTTTATAAGAAAAAAGGCCAATCTTATTTTTTTTTAAAGGACACAATTTGTGTTTGAGAGCCCTCAATTTTTAGGTAGGATACAAGGTAGACCTAACCTTTCTAAATAAGTACATGTATGGAAAAAGGCCCTCTCTGACAATGAAGCCTTTCACCAGACTGTGGTCATATTAACTTCCTAAGCATGATGGGAATTATCTATCACCAAGCTTTGAAGTTAGTCTAAATTTATTGGCTTTATTTAAAAGGAGCCTGGACTGGGGGGATGGTTCAGTGGTAGAACGCTTCCTTAGCCCACATGAAGCCCTGGTTTTATCACAGTACTGAAAAAAGAAGATAGTCTTATGATACAGAAAACTAATTGTAAATGAGTTAAAAATTTAGGATTCTATGTTTTGAGGAATCCAGGCATATTTTCCCAAGGTGATTTTAAACTATACATCATTAATTACTAACTTTAGAAATCAATTTCTATGGTGGGATATCCCTACTAAAACTCAGGGAACCCAACATTTGAGCTGGGTCTGGTGCTTGAATAACTATTCAGAAGGTTATTCAGACAGGGTCTGGCTCTGTAATTCAGGTTGGCCTTGAACTTGTGGCAGTCCTCTTGCCTCAGTCTCCTGAGTGCTGGGATTACAGGAGTGTGCCACCATGACCGGTGTTGGGGCAGTTCTTGCAATAAAGAATTTTGCAGAAGACAGAAAAGACCTCTTACATGTGCAGGAAAGTTACTCAGGTATTCATGAATATATACTGGTTTTATTCCTTTATCAATTGTAAAAACTGAAATCAATTCAATTCTATATTTTGAGGGAGAACATCTAATTGTATAACAATTTTGAGTGACACCTATGAACCACACACTATTTGAGTTACTGCAGTATACAAAGTTGTTTAAGAGTAACATCCTTGGCTGGGTGTGGTGGTGCATTCCTGTAATTCCAGCACTTAGGAGACTGAGGCAGGAGAATTGCTACAAGTTCAGGACCAGCCTGGGCTATATTGAGTTCAAGGCTGCCCTGACCTACATAGCACCATTGTCATTGTCACCATAGATGATGACATTTACCCTACAGTAGGCACGATTCTAAGTACTTTCCAGTTCTCATTCAGTCTTTCACAAGTATATGAAGAGGGACTTTATTATTTTTACAGATGAGAAAACTGAGATATAGATAGGACGAGTCTCAATAATAGCTAATATTTATTGATCACCGATATATGCTTTAAGTGGCACATATATAAACTCATTTAATTTTGATTAAAAAGCTAGAAAATGGGCCAGGGATGTAGCTCAGTGGCGCTGTGCCTGTTGTGCCTGGCTGGCAGGTACAAGGTCCTGAGTTCAATCCAAGGTAGTGCAAAAAAAAAAAAAAAAAAGGCTTAGAAGTAATATTATTTTACAGATTAACTTTATTCTTATAACAAACCGATTAATTAGATCTCATTATTATTCATTCCATAAACATAAATGAAGATAGAGAAAAAAATAGATGATTAAATCAACTGGCCATTTACTCCACTTCTAGTAAATAGTGGAGCCAGGAATTGAACAACTTAGCTTATTCCTGGAGTCTGCATCTTAATAGCTCTTAAGTCTTCTTTCTCTATTTTCATATTCCATTATAGGCGCTTTCAGGATCCATGCGTTCACTCGTGTGCCCCCGAAGGGAGGGAGAATGAATGGACCGGCAGCGGCGCCTTGGGTGGGCGGGTCTTGCTCAGTCCCTGCTCTGTCCTAATGTGGGCGTGTTGCGGAGCTGGGGATGATTTAACCCATCTCTTCATCTGGGCTGAGCTGGTGATGCCTTTCAGTGCTGGAGGAGGCTGTAGGTGACCTGTGAATTGGCCTCTTCCGAAGAAACTTCCAGGAATTGTTTGAACTTTTTCCTGCCTTGCTTGCTGACTTTGGAGTCCACCCCCGGTGTGAGATGTAAGGCTGCTGCACGCAGTAATTATAAACTAAGGCAAAGTATACTGTCGGGGCAAAGTACAAATCAAAAGCTGCGGGGAGTCAAAGGAGGGCCAAAATCACACTTAATTTGGGGGTTGGGAGGTGTGTTGGGAAATCGGAAAGGCTGCGGGAGGCGAGGACTCCGCGAGGGACTCTGACAGCCCAGGAAGGAGAGAGAGGGGACAAGCGGAGGCCGGGCGGGTAGGTTCGGGTGTGGTCCAGCCCTGTGGCCTTTGGGACGGGCGCTGGGACTCCAGCCAGAACGCCTGGCAAGGGAGCTGGGAGGACCACGGAGGCTTTCCGTGCAGGAGAAGGCTGCACCCAGCTGTCCTGAGCAATGAATCACCAGACCCGAGCTTCGGGAAGACCGACCTGGCAGGGATGCAGAAAAGCACTCTGGATTGAAAACAGCAGTAAGCATACTAGAAACAGGCCTAAGGCAGCAATCTGCAAAAAACATAAAATGGCCTTGAAAGAGGTACTTTGATTTTCAAAAAATTGGGAACCAATTTGATGTAAACTAAGCAAAAAAGGAGAATACAGTATATTACAAGAAAAGCCAGGTAATTCAGTGACTCCTGGGGCAGATGGGCCTTGGAATAATAAACCTGAACTTCAAGGCCTCCCTCTGGACCTGACTGCTTTAGGGAACCTGGGAAGGGTCCTAGCTACTGAAATTGTTATGTAAAATGTGTAAAGTGAGACTTTTTCATCACAGTCCCTTATGATCATTGTCTCTCTGCTCTTTCCTTCCTGGAGTCCACCTAGCCACTGTCCCCTGTTTCTTCTCTCCTGAGGGGTAGGGATCTGAGTTTTGGAAAGCTGACTCCTTACCCAGCCTGAGGTTGTAATCTACTGCAGTATTTTGCAATAAGTCTTGTTTCTTTTTCAGGTTCATTACTTAAGCCGAGTCGTTAGATGAACCAGTTTTAATCTCTACATGGAGCAACTTGTTTTGTAAATAATTCAAACATTTTATCATGGGTACAATGACAAAATGAAGATTTAAAAATATGTACATTGTTTGACAATTAAAAAGAGAAATTCATACACAACATTTGTTCAATTTGTGAAACATTCAAAAATTTGACAAAGTATAAATATGTATCCTAACTATAATTTTAAAAGGGGGCTGGGGATTTAGCTCAGTGGTTTTGCTGCCTGCTGCGCAAGCGCAAGGATCTGAGTTCGATCCCCAGTACAAAAAAAAAAAAAAAAAGATTTCTATAATTTTAAAAGACATTTTGGGATATTTCGAGAAAACAACTAAAGACTCCTTATTTGGATGGATATGATGGTTAAGTTCTTTTTTCATTTTAAAACTTATTTGTTGACAAGCCAGTTCTGGTGGCTCATGCCTGTAATCCTAGGACTAAGGGAGGCTGAGGCTGGAGGATCACCATGAATTGGAGGCCAGCCTGGGCTGCACAGTGAGTTCAAGGCCAGCCTGAACTACATAGTGAGATCCTGTCTCAACAAAAATAATAATTTGAGATTATAATTTCAGATCATAAAAGGAATAAATAGTCAAAAGAAAAATATAAACTGAAAATAACAAATAAAATCTGGACTATTTCATACAACTGACAGAAAGGTATATATTATAAGAACACATTGGCAAAGATGCGGATATATTGCTGATTTGACATTAATGAATACTGATCAAGAAAGATAAACATAAAACTTAAAATATATCACTATTTATTAAACAGCAACTAGCAAACTAATTAATGGGTATTCTTTGTCTCTCTTAGGATATTGCTATGTAGCCCAGGCTGTCCTTGAATTCAAGCTCTATCTTCCTCCCTCAGCTTCCAAAGTGCTGGGAGTATAGGCACGTGCCACTATGCCCAGCCCAATTAATGGGCATTTTTCAATTCAAAGAACATATAAGATTAGTCATTGCATAAGAAAACTGAAATATTTCTTCTCTATGAAAGATATGAAAAAAAAGAAATGTAATATTTTTCTCAAAAATAATCCTAAAAACTTGACTTTTTTTTTGGTACCAGGGATCAAACTTGGGACCTTTCGCTTGCAAGGCAGGCAGCAGAACCACTGAGCTAAATCCCCAGCCCTTGACATTATTGATAACAAGTTGGAAGACAGAAACTTGTATATTATCAGTAATAAAAAACAAATTTTGATGTTATATGCTAGATGAAAAACTTTTTATTCACACTATAGACAATAATACCACAAAATCATCGCATGAAGACATAATTAGAGAATATGTAGTGAATGAACATTAGTTTAGTGAATGAAAAATTAGTTTAGAAGTTTACCAGTTAATAAAAGAAATTGTGTATTTTACTTTTCTGGGCTTTGTAATATCGGAAGTATTTATCAGCTTTAAAATTTTCTTTTAAATTCTAAAATTATAACAAAAAGTGTTACCCAGGCTGGGGATTTAGCTCAGTGGTTCTGCCACCTGCCTCGCAAGCAAAGGTCCCGAGTTCGATTTCCAGTACAAAAAAAAAAAAAAAGTGTTACCCAGCAGACTAATTGGCCTTAGGCCCTGGTAAATATACGTATATTTACTATAATTTTTCTTCTCATAATTTGGTCAGATTTTTGAATTGTTCTTCATTCAAGAATCAAAATATGAACTGGGTGTGGTGGTGCAAACTTGTACCCCCAGTACTGGGAGGCTGAGCCAGGAGCCAGTCTGGGCTACACAGTGAGTTCAAGGCCAGCCTGGACTACATAGTGAGACCTTGTCTCAAAAAAACCCAAAATAGAGCCCAGGATTTAGCTCAGTGGTTCCACCACCTGCCCTGCAAGCGCAAGGACCCAAGTTCGATCCCAGGTAACAACAACAACAACAACAACAACAACAACAAATATATATATATATATATATATTGCCTTAGTGACTCAAGTCCTGTTTGGCCTAATGGTAAATAAAAAATATTAAAGACTGACAATTTCAAAAAATATATATAAAAATAAATTTTCCATCATAGAAATGTTGGGGAAAAAATTTGTTCACAGAAAAGTACATCACCTTATACAAATACTGTATACAGAGGCAGGGATTTAGCTCAGTTGTTCTGTGCCTGCCTCACAAGCACAAGGTCCTGAATTTGATCCCCAGTACCAAAAAAAAAAATCCTGAAAAATACTATATACAGGATGTCCTGAGGAAAACTGAAGAGCAAGAAAATTTGATTTTATGAATATGGTAAGCTATAGACAAAATAAAATCATAAAGTAGGTAACTGTCCAGTCTCTGGTTGGTTTGCCTAATTTTAGCTCCTGAGATTTGCCTTAGCTCCCAAATTTCCTTACTGTCTGCCTCAGTAGGTCCAAGCCTGTCCTTGTTTAATACTCAGCTTCTGGTATCTACAGTTTCACTCCTTTCTTCCTTCTAGCTCTGCTGCTGGCCAAGGAAGCCAGCCAGCCCTAAGCCTTTCCTCTAGCTCCAGGTCATGCCCCTCCCCCACCCACCTCAGAAAAAGGGCGCCTATGAAAGCAAGACCCGTATTCCAATTCCAGCTCTGTTGGGTTGTTTTAACAGAAGCAGGACACAATTTTGCCCAGCCCTAATTTCCTCAATTGTAGGATGACTGGGTTATCTGTATGGTGTTCTTGACAGATCTAAGAGACTCAAAACTGGAGGTTAGAGGCTCTGGGTTTTTTTTTTTTTTGGTACCGGGGATCGAACTCTGGTCCTTGCAATTGAGCAGCAGGCTGCAAAACCACTGAGCTAAATCTCCCGCCCCAAGGAGGCTCTTGGTTTTTGTTTTTTTGAGACAGGGTCTCGCTATGCAGTTCAGGCTGGCCTTGAACTCACTATGTAGTCCAGGCTGGTTTCAAATATTCAGAGATCCTACTGATTCAGCCTCCTGAGTGCTGGGATCACAGGCATGAGCCATCAAGCCCAGTTTAAGGGCCCCCATTCTTAAACTTTTCTTGTCTCTTGATCACAAAGGGATCTCTTCAGTCACAGTAGATGGGAACAGAATCAATCCTTGTTGCGCTATTAATTTTCTTTCCCTATCCAGGCAATCAAACAAAAATGCACATTTTGCAGAGTTCCAGAAATTTTCTGGTGGTAGAACATACAGCACTTTCAGACTTGTTAGGTTGTGTACTGGACTCCTTCACCTCCCTCGAATTGCTTGCGTATCGGAAGTGCCGGGATGTGGGGCCCGGGATTCAGCTCAGTGGTTTTGCCGCCTGCTGTGCAAGCGCAAGGACCCAAGTTTGATCCCTGGTACCAAAAAAAAAGAAAGAAAGAAAGAAAGAAAACAAGAAGTGCCAGGAGGGCACTGCAAGGGCAGGCTGGCTATTTAAAGCCCTTCCGCTCTGGGAATGGGAAAGGGGGAAGAAGGAAGGGGGAGGGGGAGGGGGGGAGGGGGAGGGAGAGTGGGGAGAGCTCCCAGAGCACTGAGCTTGAGTCTGGACGGGGCTGCCCTGCTTCCATGCCGGCTCGCCTGCCAGCTTGCTGGTGATCTTGGCGGAAGTGATATCCTCAGGAATCTCTGGTTCGTAATTGGCAAAATGATAGTAACTTTCCAATTGGACTGTTCTAAGGATTAAACGAAAGTACATTTATTAAGATGATGCTGCAAGGTCCTGAGTTTGATTCCTGGTAACAAAAAAAAAAAAAAAGAAAAACGATGATGATAAATTTCAAAGCATTTTCTTGGCGTTTAAAACGCTGATCATTTTGCAGATATTATTATCCCTATTCGTGGACTTTTGAATTTTTTTTTTGGTACCGGGGATTGAACTCGGGTCCTTGCACTTGCATAGCAAGCCTTGAAACCACTGAGCTAAATCCCCGGCTCTGACTTCCTGACTTTTGAATATTTAAACCATCGAACTACTTTTCTTTCCTTTTTTTTTTTTTTTTTTTTAAAAACATTGTGAGTGTTCTTTTACGGTCCGAGTATTTTATAACTCTCTGGCTAGGGGTGTAGCTCTTGGTACAGCACGTGCCTAGCAGGTACGAAGCCATTCCATTATTTTCTCCCGAGATTCACATTTTGATTGTGGTCCTCCTGAGTCCCCAGAAGCTCCAGACTGTTTCTTGGGCTGACCCAAGCTCTCTCTCACTGTGTCTGCGTCAGTAGTCAGTGCACCAGTGGATGTGGACTCTGCAGTGGACAGGAAGGGGTGGCAAAGCAGGGCAGAGGCCCTGGGCTGGAGGGGGTCTGGGAGCAGGAGACAGGAGCACGGCCAGAACCCTGGGGCCTCCTCGGGAGCACCCGGGAAATTAGGCAGAGCAGGCAGGACTGGCAGGGTGAGGGTGGCTGCACGGTGGCACTGGTGCCCTGTGAACTGGGGGATGGGACACAGGGTATCAAGGCTGAGGCAGAGAACATTATTTTTCACCTTTGATGGCTGAGATAAGCAGTTGAAACAAGTTGAAACAGTCAGGGAGGAATGAATGGTTAAGAACACAAGCTTCAAAGCTGGGCATGGTGGTGCATGCTTGTCATTCCAGCACTCAGAAGGCTGAGGCAGGAGGAACGCTTTAAGTTCAAGGCCAGTCTGGCCTACATACTGAGACCCTGTCTCAGAAAACCAAAGTAAAATAAATACATAAATAACCAACAAGAGCACAAGCTCCAGAGAAGGACTCACTATTCAATCTCCCACCTACTGTCTTTGAACAAGTGGCTTAATCTCTTAGCCTTAGCCTTCAAGTGTAAGATGCAGATCACAATACTGTGTTCATAAGATGAATGAGCAGAAAACGCCTAGCAGTATACTAACAGTGACCAATATTATTGGTGTCATTATTACCAAAATAATATAAAATACTACTTTGAGCAGAAAATTAGGAAAACTTCCAGAGTAGAAAGCTATAAATTATGGGAAAGTCAGGCTTTTGGTTTGTGTTTCTTGTGGAGTGAATTTAACTTAGTAGCATGGAACAAACAGTTGTATGCTCTAAAAACTGTTCAGCTCACAAGTGTGGATGATATTTCAAGTAATTTCTCATGGAAGATATTTATCTTTTTATTTTATTTACCTATCTTTTTGTTTTATGGAAGTTATCCTGAATTTTATTAAGAAACTCTAAAGATAATGTGATCTGAAATCAGTAATATTTTCATGTATTTTTTTTTTTGGTACCAGGGATTGAACTCGGGTCCTTGCGCTTGCACAGCAGGCAGTGAAACCATTTTTCATGTATATTTTGACTTTTAATTTTATAATAACAAAGTAAAATATGCTTCCAAAAGTTAGGTTTTTTTTGGTACGGGGATCAAACTCGGGTCCTTGTGCTTGCACAGCAGGCGGCAAAACCACTGAGCTAAATCCTTGGCCCTCCAAAAGTTAGTTTTAACATTGAAAATATTAGAATACTGCACAACCCATCTTTTTTCTTTTTCTTTTTTCTTTTGGTATTGGGGATCAAATTCAGGACCTTGCGCTTCCGAGGCAGGTGTGGAACCCCTGAGCTAAATCCCTGGCTTTTCTTTGGTTTTTTGAGACAGGGTCTTGCTATGTAGCTCAGGCTGGACTTGAACTCACTATGCAGTCCAGGCTGGCCACAAAGTTGTGGCAATCCTCCCGCCTCAGCCTCCTGAGTGATGGGATTATAGGCTTGTGCCACCACACCCGGCATAATACATTTTAAACACTTTAAGTATTTTAATAAAGCAATAAAATGTTTTTTAAAAAATTAATTTCTGGATGGAACTAATATTTCCAACTAAAGGATATTTTAAGGAGAAAGCTGCTTTAAAGATGTATCAAGAACTCGTTATAAAATGACAACTTATTTTACTAGAAATCATAATGTGGTAAAGTTACATATGCAGTCCATTAGGACCTAACTTCCTTTCTATATTGAAAACTTTATACTTTGTATTTATTTTATATGATTGCATTTGGTGGAATAAATTTCATCCTCAAAAATTGCTTCATTGGATTCTGGAACCTTAGCCCCCTCCCATGAATTTTGTTTCGTTGATTTTCTAAGTCAGGTCTCTTATAACTCGTGTTGTATAAAATATTACACAATTGGGATTCATAAACTGTGGGAAAATGCTCAAACCAGAGTGTGGGGACTGGGTTCCTTTGCAGACACAGCATAGTGCGAGTTAGGAACAGTCATCTTCGTGAAGTCCAGGAGGCAGTGGGGAAGATGGATGTACCTACCGGGTCACTGACAAGGCAGGTCAACACCAGAATACAACTGGAGTGTTGGTCCTTAAGGAAAGGCCAAAGGTTTCTCTGGCTGTTCTCATAAAGTCGACATAGTCATCGGCAACAGGGAATTTGCCATCCTGCAGTGAGGGACTTGATGAATTTAATGATTAAGTCACTGAAATTCACTGCTGAGAATGAATGGACTCGTGGCTGCCAGATTGTGGTAGGGCGAAACTATCCTCATCTCCTGGTATTGAGTAGGAGCAGGGCCCTGCCACGCTGAATTAGGGCTGCTCTGTGACCAGCAGAATACTTCTGTGAGTCAGAGGCTAGGTCAGAACAGGTGCCCTTTGCAGCTTGTTCTCTTGGACTACTCACTCTAAATGTTATACAGGAATACGTCCTCATTTAATCAAATATGACCAGGGCTGGGGATTTAGCTCAGTGGTTTCGCCGCCTGCTTCGCAAGTGCAAGGACCTGAGTTCAATCCCCGGTACCAAAACAAAACCAACAAAAAAACCCAGATGGAGCCAAATATGACCAAAGCCTCCAAGGGTTAGCCCATAAAAGTGAAATTTCCAGGTTGGGAGAGGAACTGATTTATTGGCCGCCACTCTGAGAATTTAATTTTCTTCTGTCCTCCTCTGGCTAATTGTCGCTGCCACCCATCCACCACCATCCTGGGCCCAGGAGGGTCCTCCACCTGTTTAACTTTCTGATATCAGAAGCAGGAAAACCTCCTTCTTTGGTTAGCTTGTCATAGTGAAGACAGGCTAAAATTCTGAAAAGTCTTTCCTATGTAATTAGATAGAAAGTAAGTGTAAAAGCATTTTTAAGCATTTTTACTTAACACATATGAGGCAATCCCATTTACACTTCAATGTAGTAATGAATCACTTGTATGATTAGAAAATAAATTATGTGGTATAAAAAATAAAAACAGGGCCAGGGGTTTGGCTCAGTGGTTCCATGGCCTGCCTTGCAAGCGCAGAGTCCTGAGTTCAATCCCCAGTAACAAAAAACCCCCCCAAAACAAAAAATAAAACCAAAAGTAATCAGGCACAATATTGAGCTATATTCCGTGATCTCTAGCTCACTTCTAGGACTTCCTATCGACGCTGTCCTGTTTAGAATGCTTTGCTACAAACTTTGTGTTTCTCACATGGCCTGGCTCCACAAGGGTTGTGTCTAAGATCCACTATGGAAGAGCTAGCTGTCTTAGAGACATCAAGTTGGGGACCTTTAAGGCTGACCACAAGGGAGCAGTTTACTCTATCTGCTATTGCATCAGTAATAAACACTAATTCTAGGAAGTGCACCACATCCAGAGGCATTTTAAAACAACACCCTTTTCTATACTTCACTGGCTCCAAGTTGCGGAAGACCTATTCCATGTATATATGTTTCATCTTTCTTGGACCAGCGGACTCCAGGCATGTTCTCGACATCCTCAAAGACAGGTGTGCCCCAGGGAGGCAGGCACTGACATGCAGCATCTCTGGAGGTCACGCTCAGAACCATCAGCTGCTACTCCTGCCCATGTTCCTTTGGCCAAACACGGGGTGATCTAAATGAAACATCAGTAGGGTCAAGAAACACTATTTCTAATGAGAGGAACTACAAATCCAAATTTCAAAGTGCATGCATGCATGGAACAGTGAAAAACTGGGAACAATAACCTATTTCCTCAGGACTTTCCAGCTGGCACTGAGATAGATTTCGTCTCAAGTCAGCTAGAAGGAATATGACCCAGCAGGTAAGACCAGTCTGTAACTATGGGCATCAAGCTTTGTTCTTGCATGCCCCTTAATATGCAGTGCTATATTATATAGAGGCAGTATTATTATTTATTTATTTAATTTTTTTGGACCTTGCGCTTGTGAGGCAGACAAGGTGCCACTAAGCTAAATCCCTGGCCTTGTTTTGCTTTTTTGTACTGGGGATTGAACTCAGGACCTTGTGCTTGTGGGGCAGGTGGTGGAACCACTGAGCTAAATCCTGCCCAGTATTGATTATCCTTTAATTAGATTACTAATTACAGGTCAAAATGGGCAATGGTTCCCCTAAGTGATAGGTTTTTTTTGCAAGAAATCAGGGGTAAAAATAGTGCCCCCAAAAGGATGCTGTCCGCAGTACCCAGTTTATTGTGTATTATTATTTTTTGTTTGGTGTTTTGAGATAGGGTCTCCCTATGTAGCCCAGGCTGACCTCAAACTCGCTGTGATCCTCCTGCCTTAGCCCCCCAAATGATGGGATTACAGGTGTGCAACACCATGCCCGGCTGTTTATTGTGTATCAAAGGTCTGAATGTTATCAAGGCTTTAGACATTTTTGAGTTCAAACTGGTGCCAATAGTTGCCATGTTTTAGAACAGAGGAATTCACACAACTTTGTCAGAGTCGAGATTTCTGGTTAACCATCGTTCTATCCAGGCTCCCCCTGCATTTAAGAGCAGAAATTTAATAAGAATAGGATCTCCCCAGAGTTACTTCTTAAGATAGCAAAGAATCATCCAAAATACTGTAAATAGCTTTTAAAAAGGTTTTTAAATTCTTAGTTTTGGCAGGGACTTAGAACAGTGGAGTCTCCTGTAGTTTTTCTACCCTTGAGCCCTGCTTTTAGGTTTATTTCCAGTGTTCCCACGTTATCACATATTGCGCAAGATTTCTTTATCCTTCAAAAGTCGTTGGGGAGCAGCAAAGAGTAAGGCTGGAGCCCAGAAATGAAGCTGGTGTGCGCTGAGCCCGATGAAGGTCCCAGTGGCGGCGACGCCGCGGGGCCCAGGGCAGCGGGCTGGCTCGGCTCGCACGGGACCGGCGGGCTCTTTGTTACAGAAGCAAACACCGAAGACGCGGCTGCAGGAGACAGGGCGTCTGTGTGCAGAACTGTGGCCGACGAAGGTCACGCACGACACGAGACGATCTGAACGTGGGACACTTGGGACACCGTGTCGTCGGCTTTTGTGCACTTGAAGGGACGTCAGGATGCCCAGCTCCGAGGTCCCCCTTTGTGTGAAAGTGTGGAAGCCAGAAGTGAGAAGCCACTGCTGGGTTTCCCTTTTCAAATTTAGCAGGCGCTTTCACCGAAATCTTTCTTCACCAGGGCCTTCGCTCATCCCCACCAACAGTGGTGGGGCTTGAGTTGCTCCTCCTGTTCCAGGGGCAGCCAGCAGGAGCCCCGGGGAGCCAGGGCGTGATGGAGCTGAGCCCAGGGCTGCAGCCACCGGGCCGGCCTGGGACGCGGCGGCCGCGGCCAGGGCACCTGAGGTCCTCTAGATAGGGGTCCTCGTTCCAGCGGGGGATCCTCCTGTGCAGGAATTCGATAAAAACAAGGTGACAGAGAGCCAGCACCACCAAGCTGCTATCACGCGCCTCTGAAGAATGTCTTTGTTCTGCTCGTGCTGATAATTTCCAAAAAGTTACAATCGCGGTTCCACGCTCGCTCCGTTCCCCGAGTCGCCGCAGGGCGCCAACTTTCCCGCCCGGAGCCCCGCAGGCTGCCCTCGGCGTGGCCGGCAGAACTCCGCGACCTGGTCCCTCGCGTCCGAGAGCGAGCGCCCTCGTGGCGACCCGGCTCTGGGTCCTCCCGGACAGGGGAGCTTTCCTCCCTCTCCGGTCTAGCTTTTAAGCACGTGTCCTCGCCCCTACCTCCGCCGTCCAGCCGTCTCGCTCCTCGTTACCGTGCAACACGACCCCAGCGTTCGGGGCACGGGCGGGCGCAGGCACCTACCGCCGCGGCGGCCGGGCCGTTGGGCGGGCGCAGTTTCTGGGAAAGGGGCGGGGCCCGCAGCGCTCGGGCTGTAGTCGGCGAGCGGGGGGGGGGGGGGTGGGGGGGCGGCAGCGACGAGAGCGGGCGGGGCGCCAAGTGCGTCACTGGGCGGGGCGGAGCCGGCGTCGCGCTCCCGCCCGACCGCTCGCCCGCGCGCCCACCTTTCACTCCGCCGAGGCTGGGGAGTGGGGAGCGGGCGGCCCGCGCGAGAGTTTGTGCCACCGCCGGCCCCCACTGTCAGACCGCCCCAGTGCGCCGCCACCCCCCGAGGAGGGCGCGAATCCCGGGTTGAGGACCGGGGTGGCCGCGCGGGCCCGTGGGGCGCCCGGGAGAGTGGCGAGGGCATGTGCGTGCCGTCCCGGCCGGCTGGGAAGCGCGGGCGGGCGCTGCAGGTGCAGCCGCGGACCCACGCGCCTGTCCCGCGCCACACAGCCCCGCACGGCGCGGAGGGCCGCACGGGGGAGCCCGGGCCGGGCCGGACGAGTGGCGAGCGTCCCCCCATCCCGAGAGGGCGGCCTCGGGAGAAGTTAGGCGTCCCGGGAGGGGGGGATTCGAGGGCGCCCGAGGCCGGCTCGGCGGGGCCCGCGGGGTAGAAAGAGCCGGCCCGCGTTTGACAGGCGCTGCGGGCACCGCCGACCCCCTCCCGCCGCGCGGAGGGAGGAGCGCGCGGGGCGGGCGGGGCGCGCTCGAGAGTCCTGGCGGCGGCGGCGGGAGGCCGGGGGAGGAGCCGGGCGGGTGGAGGGAGGGGGCCGGAGCGGAGCGGGGTGGGGGCCGCCACCAGTGCTCCCCGCGCCGGGCTGTATCGCCGCCGTCGCTGGCGGTTGGGGGTCGGCGGGGCGGCGCGCCTCTGTTTTGTCTCCTCCTCTCCCTGCGGAGCGGCTCGGGCTCCGTCGAGGCCCCGGCTCCCTCCAGACGCCCGGCCAACGGCGGCGGCCGCGGCGGCTCGTCCGCGGCCCTGCTGGGAGGGAAAGGGACGCCGCGGTGTTCCCGGCGACGCGGAGCAGGTAGGAGCGCGCGCGGGCCGCCGAGGCTGCGAGAGGGGGCGCCTCACGGAGCCCGGCCGGCCGGAGAGCCATCGCCTGCCTCGCGCCCCCGCCCCGCGCCTGTGTTGTTTGCTCCGGGGCGTGCGGAGGGGTTTTCCGGAGGCTGTGGCAGTGACACCGGCCGGGGGCTGGGGCAGGGGGGCTGAGCGCCCCGGGCAACGGTCAGAGCGGGGCTTGAGAAAGGGAGCGGCGCGCGGCGCGGCTGCCCGCGGGCGGCGAGGGCGCGGGGCCGGCGGGACTCGGACCCCAGCGGGCGGGGGGGATGGGCCGCGCGGCCGCCGCTGTTTACATCTCGGCGCGAGTCAGCGCTGCCGGGGAGCGGACCTAACCGACCCGCGGCGGCTCGCGGGGAGGCCGGCCGGGGGTCTGGCTGTGGGGGAAGCGCGTCCCGAGAGGGTCAGGATCAGGCGGGGCGGCGAGCTCGGGGCGGGACCTGGGAGGCTCCGGCCGCTCGGGGCGGCAGGCGGGCTGGACACAATTTCCTTCCCCGTCGGCCTCGCCGCCGCCGCTCACCTTTCCTTCTCTCCGTGCTCGCTCCCACGACAGGTTGTACTCGGCCGTTCTTTTATTCTCGCTGTCCTCGCCGGCCCCGGCTGCCGCCTCCCCCAGGGGTAGGGAGACGGGGCTCTGATCGGAATCTGGTTCTTAAATGAAACAAGACCGGGCTCAGTAACACGCATGTCCAGTGGCTGCCTTCTGGGCCGCCCGCAGAGCTGGCCCTCGGGACCGCGCCGCCCAAGGCTCCGGGGCGCGAGGAGGACCGTGCGGAGTCGGCCAGGGCAGCCTTGAGCGCAGGGCGGCCGGCCCCCCTTTCTCCAGTGGGGCGTTTTTATTGTGTCACCGAAGGACAGAGCAAAAAAAAAAGACTTCGTGACATTAAGAGCGACCCGGTTGCAGTTTCTAATGTTCTCGTGTGCTAGCGTCCTGGGCTGCCTTTATAGGAGCCCTATTCGTTGTAGAATAGCCTGTAAGTTCTTGGTACTTCATTAAATGAGAGTTTAGAGGGGACCGCTTCATTGTAAAAGTGTAATATCGCTTCCTTGTCTTACATTCATGAACATTTACTTCATCTGTATGGTTTAAATTTTAATCCGGTGACGAGAGAACAGTAATCGTACCTTTGGTGATCAGATTCGCCTTTTTATCTGAGTCTCTGTTGAGAGGCAAATTATGCACTTTCTCTAGTGCTACGATCACCAAGAATGTCAACTTTACTAAGACGGGATTGGATAGCTGTGTTTTAGAATCTCTTAAAAAGGCAGAATGACTGTAAGTTGGAAAGTATTGGATTATATCTGGAAGGATTTAGGAATAAAGTTTATATAGGATGATACAGTTTATAGAATGCAATCATATGAATATAGTTGAGGCATTTCCTGGTAAACACGAAGTAGAAAATTCAAATATTTTGAATATTTGAAATTTGAAAATTTATTGCTATTTTTAAGCTTGACTATACCTCTTTTTTTTTTTTTTTGGTACTGGGGATCGAACTCCGGACCTTGCTCTTGCAAGGCAGGCGCAAGAACCACTGAGCTAAATCCCCAGCCCTTGACTACCTCTTTTAGTATAGTTTGACTATGGCTGGAAAGAGTTTGAAATTTTGGGATTTTCCTATTATTCTAAGTATCCTAAGTGGTTGTGGTAGGCCTCATTAATGTTGATTTTAGGTGCTCAAAAGATGAATACCTCTGTGTGTGTGAAGTATCTTTATTGAGATATCATTCACATGCCATCAAATTTGATTTAAAGAATACAGTTCAATGAGTTTTTGTAGTATACCCACAGAGTAGTGCAACCATCACTATAATCAGATTTGGATAGTGTTTATCACTGCCAAAAAGAGCCCTATCCTATTAGCATTCATTGTATGCTCAGTCTTAAACAGCTACTCCTTTTTGTCTCTGTACATTGCCTTCATCTAAATGGAATTGTACAGTATATGGTCTTTTGTGACTGGCTTCTTTCACAGAATGTTTTCAGAATTCATCCATGTTGCAGCATGCATGGTTACTTGATTTCTTTTTGTTACTTTATTGGTTGCTGGGCATTTGAGTTTTCACTCTTTGGCTGTTATGAATAATTCTGTGACTAGTTGGGTTTAGGTTTTTGTGTGAACATACTTTTATTTCTCCCAGGAGTATACGCTTCAAAAGAAATTAATTTTTTGACTTATTTAGTTCTAAACAATTCACTGATTTTGAGTGTGAGATTCAGTAGTTTTTATTATAGAATTGTGAAACTATCTTTTTTTTAATCTTTTTTTTTTGGTATCGGGGATTGAACTCGGGTCCTTGCGCTTGCGCAGCATGAGTCGAAACCACTGAGCTAAATCCCCAGCCCTGGTGAAACCATCTTGGGAAAGCTTGATTTAGAACATTTTACTGGGTTTCAGAAATTCATTCTAGTCTGTTTGCAGTTAATCCTCATTCCCCTAGCTCCCTGCCGCAGGGGATCATGGATTTATTTTGTCTCCCCTATGTTTACTTTTGCTGGAATCATATAAATGGAATCATATAGTATATAGTTTTTTTGGATCTGGCTTTTTTCACTTAGTATGAAGTTTTTGAGATCCAGCATATTATATAGTTTTTATCAGAGTTTTGTTCCTTTTTATTTGCTGGATAATAATCCTTTGTCTGGATAATACCACATTTTGTTTATATGTTGGTCAATTAATAGATATTTGGACACCCCTCCCAAAAGGCCTCAGGGCCTATGCATGCTAGGCAAGTCTACCACTGAGTTTCATGCCAGCCTCCCTGGCCCCCTTTATTTTGAGACAGTGTCTCGCTATGGAGTCCAGATTGGCCTCAGACTCATGAAGGAGTAGCTGGGTTTAAGGCCTGTGCTTGCCGTATTTCCATTTTTTTGATATATTGAATAATGCTCCTTGAACATTTGAGTAAAAATCTTTATGTGGACATACGGTTTTCTTTGTGGGTAGATACCTTGAGATAGAATTACTGGGTAAAAGTATTTAACTTTTAAGACTGCAGAACTATTTCTCAAAGTGATGTACCATTTTACATTCCTTATGGTAACCTATGAGGATTCCTTCCAAGTTTCTTCTTATCCTTGTCAACACTTAACCATTGTCGTTTTTATTATAGCCATTCTAGTGGCTATGAAGTGAGTAACTTCTTATAGTTTGAATTTTCTTTATGTCTCATAGTGTTAAGCATCTTCACGTTTATTAGCTATTCGTACATTCTTATGAGTGACATAGCTTTTTTGATCTTTTGCCTTTTTTTGAGAGAGTCTTACAATCTAGTTCAGCAAGCCTTGGAGGTACTATGTAGCCCAAATTGGCCTTGAACTTGTGCAGATCCTCCTGCCTCAGGCCCCAATGTATTGGGATTATAGGTGCAAGCCACCACACTTGGCTTTTGCCCCCCCCCCCCCCTTTGCCCATTTTTAAGTTGGATTTGACTTAGAATTGATTTGCAAGAGTTTGTAATATATGTATTCTGGATATAAGTCCTTTATTAGATATATGATTTGCAGATATTTCCTCCCAGTCTGTGGCTAGTCTTCTCATGTTTTGAATTGGTTATTAGAGTCTCTTGAAGCATACGGTTTTGAAAGTCTAATTTCTAGATCATGATTTTTGTTGTCTTATGTAAAAACTCTGCCTAATCCAAGGTCTTGAGGATTTTCTCTTTTCCAGAAGTTTTAAAGTTTAGTTCTTATGTTTAGATTTTATAATCTATTTTGAGTTAATTTGTGTCCTTCTTTACAAGTGGATTGTTCTGGTATCATTCGTTGAGAAGACAATCATTTCCCCATTGTAAATGTGAAGATTTATCTCTGGACTGTTAATTCCATTTCATTATTTCTATGTCTGTGCTTACACCTCTACTGATTATTGTGCTTTATGATAAGTTATGAAAACAGGTAGTGTAAGTGCTCTAATTTTTTTTTTTTGGTACCGGGGATTGAACTCAGGACCTTGTGCTTGCCAGA